TTGTTTTTTCATTTTAAAGCATTGTACTTTGAAAGTACAATGCTATAATTGGGTTGTCTATGTATGTAAACATGCATGGATCAAGGGTTTGTTGATTTGCCACATAGTAGTTCTTATTTTGGGACATGTACCAAGGGCCTCAAGAATGGATAATCATGTTCTATCTTGTAGTAAGTAGCTACTCCTGTTACTAAAAGTTAACATTTGGTTTTGAAATCTTAGAAATTAATATGTATCCACTATATTAATGAAAGTCATTGACATATTTTCAGAGCGTCTAACCTGGGATGTCTATGTCCCCCTGTTAAATTATTATAAATGGTTTAAAAGATAGAATATTTATATATATATATATATATATATATATATATATTGAAAAACATAAGTTTAAAAAAATATTTATATATATTCTAAAAGAGACAGAAAAAATTTTATGCGGACAATTGATAAAGGTGCTTACTGATATCTATAATTGTACGAGTCCTTTTATTAGTTTTTATTGTTTCGGTTTCATGTGTGATCAGTTTTTCATGTTTCTTCTACATACAAAACGTAGAACTTGACTTAAGTATTGTAACATCCCAACTCCCATGTATAAATTTAAATTGTTTTATATTCATTTTTACAGGACAACTCGACGAGTTGGAGGCCCCAACTCGTCGAGTAGAGATCGATATGGTCGCGTGAATTTTAGAATTCAACTCGACAAGTTGGAGGACTCCAACTCGACGAGTTGGAGCTGAGTGTGAAAACCCTAATTTTCAGGGTTTGCACCCTATTTAAAGGACCTTAAGCCCTTTATCCCGCCTCCCTCATCACCGTATCACCCTGAGACAAACCCTAATCGAGCTATCTTCCACTGTGAGAAAGAGTGTGAGGCTAAGAGTGTGTGTTTTAGTGCATTCTTTGAAGGAACTTGAGGAGTAAAAGGTTGGGAACAAGAAGGAGTCTTTGGATCCGGCATCCATTCAGTGTTTACGACCATATGGAGGTAAAAAGCCATTACCTTGATCACTTGTTTGTTAGATCTCTCCATTAGAGAGTTTATGGCCATTTTTAACATTTTCTTGAGTCATTAGTGGTTTTGAGATTACCTTGAAGCTAAGACTTTAGATCTGGATTAGGCCCTTTAGGCCTAAAGACTCAAGCTTTATCAAGCTTTGGCCAACTTCCATGCCTTAAACCCTTTGTTGAAGCTTTGGTTTGGCAAACTTAGCCCTAGATGTCATGCATGGACGTAAAGCTTGCAGCTTTACATGGTATTTCAGCCTTAGAGGGCTAGATCTAGAGTTTGGGGCTTTAATCTTGCTTAATAACGTTTGAATGAGAGAGAAGGTTGAAGGAACTCGACGAGTTGGTTAGGGTTTTCCCTGTTATCCTGGACGCTGTGCAACTCGACGAGTTGGTGAGACAACTCGGCGAGTTGAGTTGGATTTTCCTGCTTTTTTGAGAACATGAGGACTCGACGAGTCGCATAGATGCACTCGACAAGTTGGGTCAACATGGACTGTTGACTTGAGAGTTGACTTCCATTGACTTTTAGGGTTTGGTCAAGTTGTGGACTTTGGAGACCATGGAGGGGTAAAATGGTCTTTTACCCTTTCCGAGAATTAGTAAAGGGGGTTAGCTTAATATCTTTAGAGTTGTTATTATAAAGTGTTAATTAGAGATGATTATGATATATGTAGGCGGAGTCTAGACCGATCGTTGAGTACGAGACATACTTGCTTTACCTACGAGGTGAGTCTTCTCACTATACTTACCTGAGTGGTAATACTGTGTGACGGGAGGGTCTTGCCTGAGTTGTTGACCGGAGGATCTTATGTGCTTATACTGAGTTATGTGATATATTATGCATTATGTCTTTGTGATTTATGTTGTATATTATTCTGTGCCTTATTGAGTTAGGACCAGAGGGTCCCAAACCGAGCTGTGAGACCGGAGGGTCCTCACTGAGATACAGATACAAGACTGGAGGGTCCAACCCGAGTTGTGAGACCGGAGGGTCCTCACTGAGACACATGACCGGAGGGTCCTTATTGAGATATAGTCATGTGAGACTAATTATTTGTGTGTGGTATTTTGGGGAACTCACTAAGCTTTGTGCTTACAGTGTTGTGTGAAATGTGTTTCAGGTACATCTCAGGATCGCGGGAAGACGCCGGCATGATTGTACACACCAGCTAGTTGATTGTGTTTTTGGAGGATTCTAGGATATTGTCAAACAATTTATTGTTTTGTGTTTGGAACAATTTACAATTGGGTTTGAGAAATGTTAAACTGTGTTTTTGTGTGAATTTAAAAATGAAAAATTTATTGGAAAATTTAGAGTGTGACAAGTAAATTGTTTTGTGTTTGGAACAATTTACAATTTGGGTTTGAGAAATGTTAAACTGTGTTTTTGTGTGGATTTAAAAATAAAAATTTTATTGGAAAATTTAGAGTGTGACAAGTATTTACCTTTAGTGTTTGGAAAAATAATAATGATGGAAAATCCTTTTTAATTGTCAACTCACATGTTTGTTTCATGTTTTTTTAGCAATCGTACATGTTAAGAATCCACTCTTACTCTTTACCTGAAAACATGACAAAATAACATAGTGAACTTGTGTATTATGCGTGCATGCTAATAAATAGTTAGCTTTAGGTAAAAACTCCAGATTGCGCATGACCCTACTAGTTGTTCTAAGTATATTGCTATTATATGTAGACCCATATTAGATACCATTCAATATTACATGGATGATGCTTCCATATGACTTTTACTCACAATTCACATCACTTACGGTCATAATTTAGGGACTAAATTGGTTAGAAGCTAGCTTAAGTTGAAGCTACCAATTTTCCCTCTCATGTAAATTTATGTACACTTAAACATTGTTGAAATATTTAAGTACAACTACTCTGACTTCTCAATTATGTAACACTCTGTATGAAGTAATTTTATTTTGAATTGGTTTCATATTGCATTTAATATGCAGTGGTCCTGTATGATCTACAAAGGGGACAAGTAATTCCGTCAATCTCCATTTGTATATAATTTTGCTTCAAATAATTCTTGGATAAAGTATACACAAGAGGATGATAATACGAGCTTAGGAATGGCAACACATTTTCTCAAGTATTTCATGATGGTCAAATCTAGAAGACAACATCTATGCTAATACCAAATGCATAAAGTTGGTGGTAGAATAACAAATAAATTACATGTTTTGTTAAAATGTCACAGTGAGACATGGGAGCCACACATGACTTGAATCCATGCTATAGTTGAAAAATCATATTACTTATTTTGCTTAGCCAAGCAACATTACTTTTTTTTATTTATAGTTGGAAGAGCATATATATTACTTATTTCATGTACAATCAATCATGTGTTATGTAACATTTATAAAAGAATCCCAAATTTTTCATTTTAAATTCTTATTGATTTCATTTATGCTAGCATGACTCTTATTAATAATTGTTTAGATGTAGTAAACTATTTGCACAAAAAAGGTAATCGCTTCTAGAAACTAATTTCCGAAAGAAATTATCCGCACCTATCGCTTAGCACGGGTAAACGGTTAGTATGTATGTGTGTGGGTGTATGACGGTCGAAGAATAGTGTTTGTTTGAGGCATGTTGACTTGGTTTTTTTGGTGTAAGTCGGTCATACTGACCGGGATACTAAGGTTGTTGTTGTATGCTTTAGAGAAATCTGACGACATGGTGGGGTGAGAATCCATTATGCCTTTGTGTTTTCTCTTAAGACCTATGCCTTTTTAGGATCACCGAAACGTTGGTTTTTTGTCGCAAATGATGCAACCGTATTATGGTTCCCAAAGTGAGTTCTCGGGGGTGGATGGACAAAGGATGCCCAAAAGGCCAAAACCTACAGATACTAGAGACAAGGAAATCATCGGTCGTATTCTCAGAGGTCCCAAGAACATGCTCTAACGGCCAAGTCAGTATGGGACAAAGATAGAGTTTTTTTGGGTAGAGTGTTAAAGGATAAGAATATGGTGAACTGATGATCGTTGTCATTGAGTTTCTCTTTGTATATATAGGGTCTTGTATACAAAAACCCTTAGTTACAAGATTGGTTGTGGTGTAAATGTGTAATCATTCCTGACACATAGTAAGATGAAACAGTTATCGTTTGCTTGGTAAAGTTGTTTTATTGGGTGGAGACTCATCTTGTGGTGGACTGGTAGGATGTTCCAACCTGTTCTTAAAGGGGGATGCATTACTTATAGATGAATGATTCTAAACTTGACTTATTACCATTGAATTTAAGCAAGAAAATGTGTTAATTACTTGTTAGTAATATATTATTTAACCACCAACAAATTTCCCTGGTTGTTTCTAGCTGTTGATATCTGTATTTGTCAACATTTTTTTTAATGACCATCTCGTTGCTATAAAGTATAAATAAAGTTGTCTTGTATAAAATAGAACGTACAAGTAGTAGCAGTTAACTTTGTACTCTGAGCAGTCCGGAAAAAAATTTAACTGGGGTGAGAGAGGCTCGAACTCTCGACCTCAGGATAACTCAGTAGCTATGAGACCTACGCGCTAGCCAACTGCGCCACCACCCCAATAGTGTTTAATATTAAGTTTTATCTTAGTTAATTAAATTATAAATAACCAAATATTATGCTAAATGTTTTGAGGAAGAGGATTTATTCAACTTAAAATGCTCGATGCATAGGCATTTTTTTTATTCACGAATAGTCGGATAACAATTCTAATTATGGCCAAAACACAAATATCTTTTTTATAATCCTTGTTACCATTTTAATATTCCGATTTAAGTCCTATATTTGTACAGACTACATAGTATATGTCTACATTTACATAGCTATGAGTTAGTATCCTTGCAAATATTTATGAAGATAAAATGATCAAGATCCAACATTACATTAGATCAATGGTAATTATCATTTATTGATGTTAATCTCTACACCTTAAAAAAGATTAATAAAATTGAAGTTTGTATCTTCGAAAACGCTAAACTTTAAAGTTTGGAATTAGATTTTTCAACTCTTTACTGCTAGAGCAAACATACAGAGATTTGTTTAAACATGTTTATATGTATGTACATTTTATGTTTGTAATACTATTACTTTATAAAAAAAACATGAATGAAGTCATTCGCGTGACTCCTCCTCAATAGGAACACTTGTGTAGGTGATAATATGATTCTCAGTCTCCACACCATTTCCTTTGTACTTAGTCCATGATATTTTCCATATTTGCAACAAGCTTTTCCTATAATAGAATAGGGTAAATTACATCAATCCTCCCTCGTACACATGCCAGAAAGCGTGTTTAGTCCCTATTTTCAAAAATTAACTCGGACCGTCCCTCATTTCGTTAAAAGTTGCACGCTTCATCCCTCGTTAGTTTAAATTTGCATGTTTCATCCCCTTGTGATACATAAAAAGACTATAATACCCTTTTCTTTTTCTTTTTCATTTATTTTGAAAAAAATTTATATTTTTAATTATTAAAATTTATTTCAATTATTTTTCTATTTTGTTGAATAACACTTGACCACCACTGGTAATCTACACCACCACCAGAAAATGAATCACCACCGCCACCCCTCACCGGAAAATGGAGCACCACCGCACCCCTCACTTCATCCCACCCACTCCTTCGTTCAAAATTCGAATGTTTCACTGAATATAACCACAAACCACCGCCTCATTCACCGAACCAACCATTTACTGTTAACACCACCACAACCTCTATCGAGAAACCCACTTACAAATCTAGATAGAATAATCAGGGCAAATCAGGAAGGAAGAATCATGGCATGGAAATGTGTAATTCGAAATCAGTAAAGGATTTAGAGTTCTTAAATTGAAAGCAGATCTGATTAAGTGAACCTCCAAATATGATTCGATACCAGGGAGATGGCAAGAGGGGGTTTTAAACCTGTACTTCGTCTAATTCGTTGTTCATCAATTTCTTACCCCTTAATCTCCAATTCGTTGTCTTCTTCACTTCATAAGAAGAAAGAGACGCATTTGGTGATCGATTAGAGGGATAAGAATAAGGTTGTATCTGTGTTGAGACTTGTTATGGGTATAAACACGCAAAATCCGAACCGGAGGTTGTGGTGGTGGTTGCGATTTGTAGAGAAAAACAGGTTGCATTATTCTCCTTCTTATGCCCTAACTAAAACCCTTGAACATCCGTCTTCGGAAATCTGTGGATTGTACATCACATTGGCCTTTATTGAATTGATTTCTTACCCTAACCTCATCATCTCATATCTGTAAACTCTTCGTCTTCTCCGATGAGCATCAAAAAACCCTCCGATTTTGCACCCTTTTCTCTTACAGACCCGATTTATAGGTGTGTGGTCGCTGGCGTAGTTGCAGAAGATATGAGAAGGTGATTGAGCGGATCTGTGATGGTGGTGCTTTGTCGGAAGTCGTCGGTCTCATTCTTCACCTGTACGCCACCGTCGAAAGTTGTCGACGGAATTTTAGATCAAGGTGACGATGGTGTTTTTGGCTCAGTGATGTAGGTCTGCTGTGAAGGATGTAAGAACAGGGGAGAATGGAAGTGCGTACGAAGGGGTTGGAATATTTGGTTTATTTATTTGTTTTTTAATTTAAAACTGATAAAGAAATAAAAAAAATGAAAAAATAAAATAGTAAGGGTAATACGGTCATTTCATGTCAATAGGGACTGAGCGCGCAAGAAAAAACAAACATAGGGATGGTCCGAGTTAATTTTTGAAAATAGGGACTAAACGCACTTTCCGACATGTGTACGAGGGACGAATGGTGTAATTTACCCAATAGAATAACATCAAATCCATGAGAGAATTCAACTTTTCAAACAAAGTCAGTTACCAGTTACCAGTTACTAGTTGTCAGTTACTGGTTACCAGTTACCAGAAGAAGATATACCTCTCAGATATAATATCTCTCTTGGCAAGCATAAGTGTCAAAAATACGGGAACCATTGCAGCAAATAAATGTTTGATGGTGTGTCCACTAACAATTTGATGAGTCCATTTGTAAATTGGATCATCTGCAGCTTCTTCAACCTTAGCTAGAAGATAAAACCCTGAAAGTTGTATATTTAAAAATTAATTGAGATTATTTTAAAGTGTTATTTAAAAGATGAAGTAGCATAATACTAAACCTGCAGCCCATAACCAATATGAAGAATGTGTGTACATGGGTGGTAACAAGATGGCCATTGCAGGAATGGCAATACAAGGTACAAATTGAACCAAAGCATATGGTCGAAGATCATCATAAAACCTATTAAAAAAAAAAAGAATAATTGATTATGACATGAAAGAAAAGATTGTACTACATAAGTTTACTCAATGTTTAATTTTCAAAAAAAAATGAAAACTAATTTGATGTAAAAAAATATGTTTACCTCCAGTAGAAAATGCTTACTACACCAACCAAAAGCAGGGGAATGATGGCGTATGTTCCCTTGCGTTCATCGATTCTTTCAATGATAAATATTGCAATAATAGAAGTGAATGCAATAGTCATCTGGTTCATTTAAATCAGAAAATAAAAAAAAAAGTACAGAAAACATGAGTTTATTTATTTATATATTGAAATGTGATAAATCTTTGATGAATGATAAAACTTACAGGCAAACGATCCCAAACAAGGCGAGCATCATTTGGTTTGAGGTGATAATAAGAGGATCCAAAAGCAACAGCAGCCACACCAATGTAAAAGCATGTCCAACCACAAAGCTCACCTTGCAGACTTGGGTAACAAATATGCATAACATAAATTATCACTTGTAAAAGCATGTCCAATAACTTAAAGATTCCCTGTATTATGTATAACTTAGATCCAGAAGCATACCTCAACTTAAAGAAGTTTCTATGAAAGCAAAGTATGAGCCCTATGACACCAACAATGAAGAATGGCACATTTGAAATGACATTTAGAAAGTTAGGTATGCCTGAAAGTGAAAAACATCAAGTTTATAACAGATGTAAACAAACTATAAAGTGATAAACATTATGCAACTAAACACCAGAACCAAACACATAGGCTCACATTTCCTCATCATTAATCTGGTGGAAGAATAAACTATCTGAAGTCTAAACAATCACACATAAACCAAAATGAGGAATGAAGTAGCTCCAGATATGAGCATAATATGTCCTACATATTCCACTACCCCAACATATTGGATATCAAACCAGAATCCAACATTGTAAACAGGTTAAATTAATCATAAGTTCATAACTAACAACATACAAACCATATACAGTTGTATTAGTCCCCTTTTTCAGAATTTCCTTGATTTGGGATGTTAGATAGATGATTTTTCAACTTCAAAGTTGAAATGGACTTCAAACTTTCTGATAAAAGTTGCAAACTCCGTTGAACTTCATATATAGTAAGTTAGTAACACAGAACAATGTCAGAGTAAATACGCAAACAAAAAAAATTCCATACGAAACTAGGTCTGAACTTTTAAACCCAGAGTACATTTTTTTCTCCGAACAGATTGAGCCGCATCTATCCGTGAAACGAACAACTGATAGATGCATCTTTACGATACTATCAACAAAACATAGCACCATAAAAGTAAAACAATAGAACGTATCGCCAAGAAGTATGGCCAGTTACGAAACCAGACGAACAGAAGGATTTGAATCCACTACTTAGACAGTATTCAAAATTAAAAGTAATTTACCGAAGAATTCACGTTGATCCGCGAAATCGTGGTAATCCTGATCTTGAGGGATGGTCGGAGTAACAAACATCAACACTACAAAGCATACTATCGCAACTATCCATACCAATACAGTCCGATCAGCCATAATTACTGCTACATGTACGAGCGTGTAATTTGGGCAAATAAGATGGCTCCAGCAACTGTTCTTGAGTCTGGAATAGTATTCGATTACCGGCGATTTGGTTGTCAGAGATAGAGATTCGTCGGTGAATGTATCAGGTTTGACTGATCCCGTAAACCGGTGTATTAAAGGCGACTGGAGGGGTGAAAGTGTAGTTTTCGGTATTCGTTGGACCGAGAGGGAGTTTGAAAAAAAAAATTTGTTTATTGTTTATTCTCACCGCAACAAGCTAAGTTTAAAAGTGTTTGGATATGAATCCTTAAAAATCAGTTTATTGTGGTAGGGATAAGCTAAATAATTTGATTTTAATAAGCATCTCCCCCTTGCTTATTGCTTATTGCTTATTCCCACCGCTAATAAGCAATAAGCTAACAAACTATAATCTAATTTATCCAAACACCCCCTAAGTTTGTACTTTGGCTTATCTATGCTATCATCTGATGATTATCGTATAACCACCCTCCACTTTTAGTATGTTTCCTTTTGACCTTTTTAACATATTGTTTTATAACAACATGGTAGCATGGATAAGGATTTTCCCAGAGGTGCCCTTAGATATATGGATTTAAAAAAATATATTATTATCATTTCATATAGTTATATCATATATAAGCATAATTTGAAGACCATGACATCATGATTTATCTAATCCATGGGTTTCGATATGAGTATTTTATCTTCGAAATTAGTAATGAATTAATGATAGACCACTTTATCCTAATCCAATTGGTAATCACAATATGGAAACATGGATAGTGCATTTACTCAAAAGTGAAACACCCATCATACACATAGATGTGTCGTCCCAATGTTAGAAACACCAACTAGGAAATAAGACAAGAAGATGGAAGCCTTTATAATATTCAAAAGCTTCTAAAAGATATACCATGGTAAAAGAATAGTAAACCATGAGATAGAAGTTTTACATGTTGAAGAACAAACAACAAAGCAAAAGCAAAAGTCTATTGTTATATAGACAAGCTCAAGTTCTAACATGCGAAGGCAAAGCAAAAGCAACATAATAGTAAGCCACAAGATATATATATATATATATATATATATATATATATATATATATATATATATATGAAACACAACAATTAGGGCTAGAAATTTATCATAATTAAATTAATTATATTTAGTCACCGAATTAATCTAGAGGGTTAGATGCACGTGTTATTCAAGAATAAAGGTTTGTTGACCTTTCTAAAGGATGAATAAAGGTATATATATATATATATATATATATATATATATAACATCACTTCATTCATTTATGACCTTAAATTCATAATTAAGGGGTGTTGGGTCTTAAATTATAAATTTGATGCACTTAATGTAAGAAATGTGTCCGCATAGATAAATTATATTTCATTGTTGTTGGAGGGTAAGTGTTGTAATAAATGAAAGTCCATAATAGAGCTTGAACCTATATGGTTTACCCTTTATTTCCCATAATATGTGTGTGTGTGAGAGAGAGAGAGAGATATATATATGTGGACTTTGAATTTGACCAGTTGAGATTGAAATTAGTTGAGATCTTCCATCAGTTTCACCAAATGGGCATCTAAATTCTAAGGTATGAATCTTCGATTATAAGTGTTTAGCTTTAATATTTGAGGTCCATCAAAGGAGATTCATCTTTTGATCTCTTGAAAATAAAACATAATAAAACATGATGGAAAATTTAGTGTTATCATGATGTTAGGACATAAATTATAATTCCTTGTGTTCATTTGAATGAAGAGAAACCATTGTAATTGGTCAAATTGATGATATTTAGTTTTGAAATATAGAAAATGGAAATTAATCATCAAAATCATAAATAATTTTGAATGTATTATTATTACTGACCGAATAATGTGTTATAATTTTTTTAAACATGATTTAACCATTAAAAGGAATTTGTCGAGTGATATAAACATATTAGATGTGAAAAAGTGGACGTTTTGAGGTTTTTACTCAAAATAATGTGTGGAATACCAAACATGGCCCGTGCAACCTTCTTTTGGCCAAGAAAAGTGAACTTTTCTATCATGGGTCTAGGGGGTGTTTGGGATTGCTTTTTAGCCTAAAAATTCTTTTTCAACAAAAGAACTTTTTGACTTATCGCTTTTTCCAAAATGCGGTTTTAAAATATGTTTGGATTAACTTTTGAGAGAACAAATGCCAAAAAGTCAGAATTCACCAAAAGTCACAAATTCCTGACTTTTGAAATCACTTATTTTTCTTCTTGCCAAAAAGTCATTTTAAAAGGACTTTTAGATTTACCAAACATTTTTTCAAACTTTTAGCTTTTTGAAAAAAGCTAAAAGTCCAAAAAGTCATTTTAAAAAACACCCTCTAGTAGCCGTTTGGGTGTTACCAATGTGATCCTACAACTTACATAAAAAAATTTAAGAGATATTTGATACCGATTAAGTTATATGCAATCTAAATCTAAATTTTTAATATGGGCTTGAATTAGTGATCCAATTGTGTTTCATTATAAAACACCCTTCTTTTATTTTTTATATTTTTAAATCCATTAAATCACTTTTTTTAAAATATCATCGTTTGCAGAATTTGATCTTAAGAGTCTTAGGCCCGATTTGATAGACATTTTTCCATGTCTAAACAGATATTTCTGAATTGATCGGAAAGACTGTTGATTTGCATAAAAAAAAGGCTCTTTCCCGGAAAGATATGTCTTTCCCAAAAAACCTCAAAACCATATTTTTCCGGCTGAATGAACCGGAAAGACAATTGTGCCCCAAACCTCATATCTTTCTTTCTTCGATTATTAATTTTTTTAAATAATTTTTTTAATTTCTTTTTTATTGGATTTTTAATTTTTACTGGATTATTATATATTAATAAATATTATTTTTAATGTATAATATTTATGTATTAATAGATTTTATGTTATTAGATTATTAATTTCTTTTAAATATTTTTTTAATTTCTTTTTTATGGATTAAATCTTTTTGGATTATTATATATTAATAAATATTATTTATAACATATAATATTTATATATTAATAAATATTACTTTATTGGATCATTAATTTCTTTTTTTTTATTTTTTTAATTCATTTTTATTGGATTAATTCTTTTTTTGGACACCACTGCTATCATCCTAATTTATTTAAAAAAATCTCATCCATCCCACCACTATCGGACATAAATTAGGTCAAGAATCTCATGTTAGGTTATAAAAAAAAACTAAAATTACTAGAAAGAATAACAATGTAACATCAACCTGAAAAACAATAAACTAAAAACAACTTAATCGAGATTCTATTTGGATTCTAATTCTTTATGTTCAATTACTTTGTATAATAATTTTTAAGCTAGTAAAGGTGCAATGGCAGCATCGGAGGGGCTCCGAATGGACCTGGGAGTCGGAGGACGAGATGAGGGAGCATTACCCATATTTATTTGTGTCAGCAGACTTCGAGAACGAAGTCTAATTCAAGTGGGGAAGAGTTGTAACATCCAAAACCCAGGGTTTTCATTTTAAGCCCTTGATGAATTTTTAAGTTGTAAATCAGGACCCTCCATACGTTGGGCGTACATGTGTGTACGCTTAGCGTACACAAGAGGATGCATCGGGTAGCTGAGGCACATACGTGGTCGAAGGCTAAAACCCTAATTCTCGGACTTGAGCCCTATTTAAGCTCATTTATGACCTTGAACCCCCTTCCTTACCAGCCTCCATTGCTTTTAAACATCCCTAAAACCCTAGTTCCTTTGAGAGTGATTCTTGAGCTTGAAAGTGCCTAAAATAATATATTTTTAGTGTGTTAGCAAGGAGAATGAAGTGGTGAGCAAGTCTTGAACGTGGGAGAGCTTGTAGATCTTCCATCTAGATCATCTTGGAGAGCTGTTGGAGGTAAAAAGCTCACATCGTGCTAATCCTTTTGCTAGTTTGAGTTAGGGTTTTGTAGCAAGTCCATTTTTGGTCCATGAATCCTCTCTTGTGAGTTTAAGCAACTCCAAAGGTTAGGAATGTTAGATCTGAGGTTATTTGGCATGTTGAAAGCATAAAAATACTAGCTTGATACTTGTTATGGTTTAAGATTTTAAGAGAGAGTCTTAATGGATAAAAAGAGGTTTTGGGTTCCCATGTGGCATGCAAAGGCATAAAGTTGCCAACTTTATGCCCTAGGACCTTTAAAATGACCAAAATCTGGAATTAGACGAAGAGTCTTCATGTATTAAGCACTTAATGGCTTTTTGTGCAAAGTCGCTTGCACGTTGGGCATACTGAGTTGTACGATGTGCGTACTGCCCAAGAACTTAGTACGCTAAGCGTAGTGAAGATGTACATTGGGCGTACGCTTCCTGTGGGTTTTGGGCTTCCGATTGACTTTTGAACCATTTGGGCCCTAATTAATCTTGGGTCTGGATCTATTAGAGTATTGGGCCTTTGAACTTGTTATTGAGCCATAGATGGCATGGTTGGGACTTTTAGGCCTTGTGACCCATTATTGTTTTGGACCTTGGATGTTAGGCCCATTAATAAAGGATAGAGTTTTGGGCCATATTGAAGGAGTTTGGACTTAGGGTTTTGGGCCTATGTCTTGAGTTTGTGATTTAATTCTAACTAGGATAACTTGTGTATCTTCAGTATGATTTCCGGACCAGTAGCCAGGCAATAGTTTTATTAGCAGTCTGAGGTGAGTCTTCTCACCATAACTTCGGATCTAAGGCACCAAGGTCGGTTCAATATCCATTTATGTAGTATGCTAGTTTTTGTATGTTAAATGTTGTGATTGGGTTTAAATATACCCCAGGGCGGGGCACAGTATGATATAACGGGTTGAAATATACCCCAGGGAGGGGCCCACTGTGCCACACCCCCGACCGGCGGCAAAAACACCAGGCGGTGTAACTTCATTATTGTATCACATTTATTAAACATACATTGAACAGTATAAAAATATAACAAAATAGTAAATGTATTATCACTGAAAAATAGATTATAATGATATTTGGAATTACAAAAGTCTAAGCCTTAAACAGTAGGCTACTTAATAAAACTGCATCATTGATCTATAGGTAGTTTTGACTTCACGACTCGACTTCCGGGAGTACAAGCTTCCATTTCTTGTTTCCCTAGGAATA